CCGCGGTGGCAGAAATCGGGCCTCCAAAGCGGGGGTTTCCCTGCCCCCCGCCCCCACTTGGCAGCCCTAAGTCGGGGTGAGTACGCCTGGGGAACTCCTGACAGACGTGGCTGTGTGATCTTGCCCGTTTAATCCGTTTGTAAAATGTGACTATATTGGGCCAAACTGCCACAGATTTGTAGGAATGAAGTCACGAGGGAGGCGATCTTGTGGTCTGTCCCCCATATTGCTTGTATCCACTCTGCATCCACTCCTTTTGGCAGCTCTTTGCCGCTCCTTAGTCTGCATCCAGACACAAGAGCCGTCTGTGCGAGGTCCTGGTTACAACAACAGGAAGGCTCTTTGTGCGAGGGAATCACCCCGTGTTTTACGTGGCAGAGGCTTCCGAGCCAAACCGTCCTGAGTCCGAAAGCCTTGTAAAGCGATCCGTTCTCCTTAAGCTGCACCAATTTAATGGGGTAAACTAGTCTCCACGGGTTTTTAAAAGATTATATTCAATTAATAGCCGTGGACTTAAAAGTGCGTGGCGGGCAGAACTGTGGCCCGTCACATCTCTCAAGATTCATGCTGCCTTTAACGTAACGTAAAGCATTGTTCATCAGCGGTGAAGCGACTGAATGCCAACAAGTTTATACGCTGTCTGGGAGAAACGCTGGGGAGATGGCAATGTAGCCTTTCTTGCCAAATTCCAAATGAGAGGCATGGCCTACGACAGTACAGCCATCGACAGATGTTTCTGGAAAGTTGATGTTCACATGGGACTTGCCAGCAGCTCAGCAAACGGCCCGATGCTGCTTGTTCCAAGTGGATTCCGATGCTGGGTGGAAGCGAAGGCAGGATGCCGCTTGGGAGAACTCTGCTGCCAGCCAGAGAAAAGCCGTGCCGAGCACCAGGGTCACACAGACGACCTGGCCCATCGCAAAGTGCTCCTGGAAGATTCTGGAGCGTGTCCGGGGGGCCCAGTTGGAGCCCTACAGTCGTGGCATTCCATACGAGCAAAGCGATGCCCGTTTTCAGTTCAGGGCATCCAGAAGAGACATTTGCCTTCCTGAAAATGTTTAATTCATTATAGACACTTAGGCTGTGGTCACACGGCAAGCGTACCACGATTTGTTCCCACTGTAGATTTGATCGGGGATATTTTTAAGCGGGTTCAGATGATCACACATCCCTTGCCCAACTGCTTGCTTTGCACGAGAATGCTCCAGGCACTGTCCAGACAGCTGCGCTGCCCAAGTGGCGGTGCAGCACATTAAAAAAATATTTTTTATTTGCACATGTGCATTTGTGCGTATGCACACGTGCACATATGTGCATGCGGACAATGGTAAAAGTCCCCAAAAAACACCCTACCGGAAGAAGGACATTCAGATGACCTCATCGCAATCATTGCAAGAAATGGCTGTCCAGAGCGCAAATACCCGGAAAGTACTTGATCTCCCCAGGGTCAGAAAACTCGCTAGGGAACCGGGAGGATTGCGCGAGTGAGCCCACTTCGGTGCGGGAGACAGGCGTGGGCATCTCTGATCAGCCATTTTAAATGCGAGAGGGAGCAGCAGTGACACCCGATCAAAATGACCGTGTGGCCACAGCCTTAGATAGGAAGGACTGTAACGGAATGGGGGTGTCAGGGGAGGGTGGGGGAGGGAGAGGAGGGAGAGGAGTCGAGGAGGGGCACCGGGACAGGGGCTGGCTTAGCTAACGGCACCGAGGAAAGGAGAGCATTCCGTGTGGCAGAGGGAGGAGGGGAGGGCACAGCTGGCACCTATGGCTGCCAATTCCCCGTTGGGGGATTTCTGGAGTTTTGGGGTGGGGGTGGAGCCTGGGGAGGCCAATGTTTGGGGAAGGACCACAGCAGGGTACAATGCCCTAAAGTCCACCTGCCAAAGCAGCCATTTCCTCCGGGGGAACCGATCTCAGTCGTCTGCAATTCCAGGAGATGCCCGGGCCCCACCTGGAGGTTGGCAACCTTACTGGCACCCCAAGCAAGTCACACCGGAGGGTCACCTGACCTGGTGGGCGGGAAGGCAGGAGGGGAGTTGTTGATCCAAGAATTCTTTAATTCCCTTTTGCTCAAGTTCCAGGATTTGCTCCGTCTTTTCTCCACATCAGGATGGCCCCGGATAGGTCGGAGCAGCACCAGAGAGGCAGACTCAGGCCCCTAGCTACGGTGGGGCTTTTGGGGGGCCCGCCCCCTTTCTTAAAGGCACAGCCCCACAAGGATTTCTCCTGCAAATGCTTTTTCCAATGATCTTGAAACAATTTTTTTAAAGTGTGTGCTCCTTTAAGCAGAGTGAGTTGCTGTAGTTAACTAATTCCTGCACTGAGCAAGGGGGTTGGAGTAGGTGACCTTTAGGTTCCCGTCTAACTCTGTGTCAAGAAACTGGTCTGCCCAAATACCAGAACATCACCCCGACATCCCGGATGTGATGACATCACTTCTGGTTCACGTGGGCAGTGACGCCAACACTTCCCTGTACGTCAGATGGGCCTCCCAGCTGCTCCCCGTAAGTTGTCCCCCATCCCCTGCTGGCTGGCAACCCTAATCAGCAGCAGAGGCTTTTCACTTGATCTATGGAGCGGGGTCTGTTTTGCAGGCAAGCTTTGTTTGTTCATGATCCTCTAGGGTTTCCATTTGCCCACTTAGGATGGGAGACCTCCAGCCAATTGTAGCCCTTGCCTGCCGATGCTCAGCTGATCACTGGGCAGAAGCTGGGGCCAAAGAGAGGAGCATGATGATCCTAGGGAGAAAAATAAGAAGAAAAATAAAGCCTGATTTATGTACAGGAAGTCCTAAACATAGCCTGTGGTCACACACACTAAATAATCCACTTTCAATGCACTTTCAAGCTGGAGTTTGCCAGTCCACACAGTAAAAATCCAGTTGGAAAGTGCACTGAAAGTGGATTGAAAGTGGGTTATTTAGTGTGTGTGACCGCAACGATAGAGTTCCTGATGGTTCCTAGAGCTATCCAGAAGTGATACGTTTCTGGTGATTTCTAGAGCTATCGTCACTTCTGGGCAGCTCTAGGAATCACCAGGGACTCTAAGGTCAGAACTTCCTGTCTTTTCTTTTTAATTTTTCTCCCAGGACTCTGGCCAACAGCCCTCCTGCCAGTTGCTGGCCACTGCCTGGCAACTGTAGTTATAGGGTTGCCAACCTCCAGATGGCGGCTGGAGATCTCCTGGGATGACAGCTGTTCTCCAGGCGACAGGTCAGTTCACCTGGAGAAAATGGCTGCTTTGGAAGGTGGGCTTTATGACATTACACCCCATCAAAGTCCCTCCCCTCCCCAAACCCCGCCCTCCTCAGGCTCCGCCCCCAAAATCTCCAGGTATTTCTCAACCCTGAGCTGGCAACACTACCTGGCTACCTCCTTTCAGAATAGCAGCTTTGTTGCTCTGCTGATGGCTGGGACCGAAGCCTTGCCTAGAGATGTGAAGGCCCAGAAAAAAACCGGAAACATCCGGGAAAAAAACATTTCCCCCCCCCCGTTTTTTTCCTGAAGCCTTTTTTGTTTTTTTTCCGAAAAATTGGAAAAAAAGAAAAGGAAAAAAATGATTATGGAACATTTTATTTTAACATGGTGAATAAAATATTTTAAGACAAGGTGTTCAAATATTTTCCAAATCATTTCTTAAAAATATGTATGGTATCAGATTGATCTAATTTCTGTGCACGGAGGACAAGCATATCCTAGGTTACAAATTGAACTCTCCAATGCAAGAACAAGATGCATTTCTTCCTTTAGGAGGTGCTATTGTCACAAGAAAAGAAGAAGGTTTCAGTTTTGTTTTTGCATGTGGGAGGGTATTCTGTTTGTAATAATTGTTTGGATACACTATATTTTTAATATGCTAGTTGTGATAATTTCATGCCAAGTAAAAATGTCCAGAGTCATAGTTTATGTTCCTAAAGTAACAGAATGACTTTCAATCTAGAAAAGACAAAAGAAATGCTAATGTAGCATTTTTTGCAATTTTTCCAAAAATTTCCGTTTTTTCCTGAAAAAAAACGGGGAAAAAACGGGGTTTTTTCCGAGCTTCAAAATTTCCGGAAATTTTACATCTCTAAGAAAGACACCCCCCCTGCAGTACCAAGTGCAATACCCTTTTAGCAGAGCATTTCCTTTTGGAATCAGTGACTTCTAGTGAAAACTGGGGTGCAAACACATGCACGATAGGAGGCGGGAGGACCCCTTGTCAACTCCAGGTCCAGAAATTCCTGAATATTTGGGGCTGGAGTCTGGGGAGGGAGGGGAACAACCTCGGTAGAGTACAATGCCATGGAGTCCACCCTCCAGATCAGCCGTTTTTCTCCAAGGAAGCTGATCTCTGCCGTGTGGAGATCGGTTGCAATTCCCGGGGATCTCCAGGCCCTGTCTGGAAGTTGGGAACCGTATCATGGCTGCCTTTCACTTGAACGTCATTGAAAGAATGTGGTAGAACGAGGGTTAGGAACGAGGGTTGCCAGCTCCAGCCTGGAAAATCCCTGGAGATACGAAGAGGCAGGGGTCATTTCCTGCAGGAGCGCACAGGAGCGGAGCTCCGGCAGTAAAGAGCCCAGGGGCAGGCACATGTAACAAGCCCTACCCCCTGCTCCCAGCGGCCCTGGGCCACGAGGAGCAAGAAGCAGCCCTCCTTCTTTCCTTCTCTCCTTCTTTCCCTTTCCCTCCTTATTTCCTTCTCTCCCTCTTTCTTTCTCTTTTTCCCTCCTTCTTTCCTTCTCTTTCTTTCTCTCCTTCCTTCCTTTCTGCACAGATCTGTGTGTTCCCTCCCCCCAGCTAGCAATCCAAAACAGTCCAGTGGCACCTTTAAGGCCAAGTTTTATTCAGGTACAAGCTCTCCCTCCTCTGTGAGGGCAGATCTATATGTCCCTCCCAAATAGCTAGCAATCCAAAACAGTCCAGTGGAGCCTGAGTGGTGGGTGTTGCCTTCTGACACACTTCCGGTGATGTCAGGGTGTGTGGTATATGCAAATAAGTTATGCTAATAAGTTATGCTAATGAGCTCCGGCACCTCTTTTTCTACAAAATGACCCCTACGAAAGGGTGCTCTGAGACACCTTTGGGTAGTGAAGGGCGGGGTATAAATTCAATCTCTTCTTCTTCTTCTTGTGGAGGGAGGAACCTGGAGGTTGGCAGCCTTGAGGACC